GATATACACATTGTAACGAATATATTATTCGTTATACTCTCTCCCGCCTCTTGGGCAAAAGCCTATACAATATTATTTATTATGCATATTTTATAATATTTATTTATTAATATTTAGCTATTGCTACTATAATAATTGTCACTTGCCGTGCGATGGACCGCGCGAAACCCAGCATTACAAATGGCGCCCATACATTCATGCGCGTCGTCGCACTGGCATGCGTAGAGGGTATACGCGAGGCGCGTGTATGCACCTACCACGACGCGTGTATCGTACATATTTTTTATATATACCTACTGCACTCAATGTATCGAACCATAACGTTTCTGAAACTTTTATGGCGACTCCACTGAATTTTATTATACGGCTTAGCGGCGCGGCGACACTCAGAATTTCGTTTCCACTGTGTGTGCCAGAGCGAGATTAAAAAGGCGTCGGGGTACGTACGGGGGCCAATGTACTCCGACGAGCAGAAAAGGCGCGCGTACGCGAGTCCTTCTTTATTTCATATTTCCCCGGGTGATCATCGATGACGACGCTCTAAAATTTTGATAGTGCCGAGCTCTCAAGAAAATTGCCAGCCGCGGAAAGTTGGATGACCCCTCATATATACCGTGTACGTACGCTGCGCGAAAGGTTATTTTTTTTCGCGCACGCATCGATCGACGGCCCCGAGATATATATCGAAATAGAGAAAGCCCACGAGTAAATCGAAAGCATCTCTCTCTTTCTCTCTTGCGCGAGCCCGAGTATTGCCGTTCGTGATTCGCGACTGGAAGTGCACTGTACAGAGTGTCAGTATAGCTGAAGCGCGTAACACGCGCAAAAGTATGCGCACAACGAAAGAGAGAGAGAGAGAGAGCCCTATAATAATACCTCCTTTGCGCGACGACGACGACGATCGCGTCGAAGCCTAAGCTGCTTCGAAGAGAAGCGACGTGCAAAAAGTTAAAATTCCTCGAAACGCGCAGACTGCAGGAATGTCTCAGGCTCGCGCTGTATATATATACCCAGTAAAATGCACAAGCTGCTCTCAAAGGAATTAAAATACACCAACCTCTGCTGCGCGCGAGAAAATCCAATGACATCTTCGGCATAGCTGATAAAAGCTCTTGCCACCGCTTATTATCAAGGACTAGGTAACAATATTCAATGACTTTGTCGATTATAATTCTTGCCTATATAGCAGCGACGGGCGGCGTTGAGAGGAAAAACGGACAAGTAGATGAGCGAGAGAGAAGGAAGAAGAGAATTTTTCGCGTGGCGTAAGGGATAGGAAAATAAATGCAAGCAAGCCGGACGCGACATGCTACGAGAAGCTTGCAAACATGGCTGTACCCACGCGCGCAGCGGGAGTACCAGCAGCCTAGTGCATAATGCTTACTACTAGCCGTTGCTGTGCACTGTCAAGCGTCTACTCGAGCTCTCTCTCTCTCTCCGTTCACTGGCCTGCTGTTCCAGCCTCTTCCTCCGGCCTACTGCTACTGCTGCTTCTGCTGCTATCCAGTAGTTGCCTCTCGAAAGCTTTGCTCGCGCGCTCATGAGCCACTCGTAGGGCCACTTCTGCCTGTGTATAATGCGTGTCTGCCTCTCCACTATACTGTTACCGTGCGCGAGCTTCAATTCGCCTAATGATTCCTGTACGCCCGCGCCCTGCTGTACTATACATACAGCGCTTCGCAATGAGACCTCTCTTCGTTTCTCGCACGCCTCGCAGCTTCTCTCTCTATCTCTCTCCTCTCTTGTTCCGTCTCCTACACTCCATTTCTCTTTTTATTCGCTTCCTCTTTTTTTTTCTTTCTCACGCACTCTCAATCAACATTCTTTTTTGCAAATTTACATATAATTTTTCTTTTTAGCCTTCTTGCTTACACTTTTCGTCTATTAATCATAATTGCAACTTTAAAAAGTGTTAACGATCCACAGCTTGAATTTCTGCTTTTCTTATTACTTTCGCTCTGAAATATTCATGAAATAAGCGGTAGCTCAAATGACGAGTTGATATTTTTTCTTCCTTTTTCAACACATTATTTGGAAGTTATTTTCGTTAATTGGATCGATTATTAAGATTGTTCAAAATAATATTTTTAACGATCGTTTTGTTAAATTTTGTGTTGTCAAGCAAAACTTCTCAAGGATAAAATTTCGATAAAAATCATTTCCGAAAACATGTATTTTATTTTGAGAACAGTTGAGAACTGGGCAGGAGATTTTAAAATTATTATAAGATAGCTAAAATAAAACTTTACACTAGGTTTTGATATTTTTTCTTCTTGATCTAAACCTATGTTTAAACCGACAATTTTAAATTGTGTTAGTTACGTAGCATATTCATACAGGTAATTAAATAAGTACATAAAATAGAAGTTTTGTCCAGTAACAATAGCTAAAAATGCCACCTGTGGAGCTACATAATAACTCAGATTTTCGCGCTAAAATTCTTGCATCAATCCATTTGCATACGCGTTACTCTTTTCCTCTTGCTCATTTTTTTCTTACTAACAGATGTAAGATGCCGCCTTTATTGTTATCTAAGTACTAATAAGTGAGAATCTATGCTACCGGTGAGTGTGTTTTTGACTGTGGCGTATATCATTTCAAGTGATGACTTCAACCTGAGAGTACTCTGAGAATTTATCTAGTTTCCCGGTTATTTGTAGCAATGACGAATTATAGTAGAACTATTAAATAAATGTCTTTGCAAATCGATTGAATCTTTATTATATATAATTTGAAAACTATGAAACACGCACCGAACAAAGTTGTATTATGTTTTATAGTTAGTGGGCCGTTGATTGCTTGAATTCGTTTTGCCATTTGTGAATTTACAATACTCCATCTGTTGATGGAATTAAAAATCTCAAAATCACAACATAATAACTTTGATTATGATTAACCTTGATACAGTACAAAACAAATTTTGAAATATTAATCTTTATATTTTCCTACGACAAATTTTTATTTTTACTGTAGGTCACTATGTAACACAACAATTTTTAGAAAACCTTACAAAGATTTTCAAAATGCAGAGTTGATAAAATAACAAAAATCACTATTATATTTAGCATTTACTGCAGTCTTTTTCTCCGAGCATATTGAAAAAATGATCAGAAACATTTTCAAATTAGAAGCCAGAGATAAAGGATATTAAATGTATGTATACGTATATACAGATATTATAGCTATCATCGAACGTTGAAGATTTAACAAGCAAATACATCTGCTAACGCAATAGTTTGTGGTCGGCAAAACCAATCGAGCTTTGTCAGTTTGATTGCTGTCGTTGCTAACTCGGCAAAGATCCGTTCATCCGAAACTTGAGCCTCTAACGTGCGTCTCTCTTTCTCCTTTGCAAATCTCTTTGAGTCATTCAACGTCGTTTCCAAACTTTATGAATATATATTAAAACCAAATATAAATTCTACCACGGTAATCATTTCAGTTTACTTTGCAAAATGTTCCATGCAATTTCCACGTTCTAGAAATTCGTAAAAATAATATCGTAAGGATCAGCAAGGTCTTTGTCTCGCTATGATTTCAGCAAAATTGACCTGAGCAGAACTAATATACTGAAAATTAACAATAAGTCAACGCATATTAATTTCACCGAAAAAATAGTAATGAAACAATATGTACGCAGTTTACATAAGATTTGCACGGAGCAATTTCGGAATTTTTGGTTGTTTGAGATAACCAATCGATATAAAAAATCTATATTCAACCACAAAAGCACAAAGCTATCAGGTTCGATTTTGGATTGAATATTCTTACCAAAGTGAACTTGCTCAAGGGCACATGCAACAAACTAAAAGCACAATGCAATCGGAAACTGAAGTTGTACACATATAAGGATCAAACTTTGTACATGCTAATGCTGGAATGGCTATCATTGACACATGCTGTTAATTTATGTGATGGAATACTTTTTTCGACAATTCTGTCAATAATCTCAATGGTTTAAAATTTGTTTCTTTTAGATGAATAAAAAAAATATTAAGGAAGCTGTAGCGATGCAAGGTGGTTCTGTATTAAAACGCTATATGCGCAAGGCTATAAGCGTTACGCAGCGCACAGCGTTAGCATGGCAGAAAATAGGGAAAATGTGTTGGACTCTTGATATCTTTTTAACTTACCTGGAAACACCCATTTATAATTATATCATTCGAAAGCTAATGAAATTTCCTATCACATATATTAATTTCATTAACTTCTAAAGTGATTTGAGCTCACAGTACACTAAAAACTACCACTTCCCATTTGATTCAATGTTAAAAAGCCAAAACTTTGAATTTCATTATTTCTCAAATTTTGCATGGAAACCCCAAATTTTTTTTGTACCAAAAATATTGTAATTTCATAAACTATCAATGGTTAAAATTTCTCTTCGATCTAAAGTTTTTTTCATTTTCGCTACAGCCTCCTTAAGTTCTCAGGTAGAGTTGACGAAAAAAATTGAGTAAATAAGCGCAACCGCAACAGAATTCTATTCTGACTCTATCGTTGACTTTGTATTTTTAGCTTTTTTATTCGTATCAATGTTTCTGCATTCAATATTTTCGATATTGCTTGTCAACTGTAAAAACAATTGAATTTAGAATGTGCAACCACTAGCTTTACATTTTCTGGTTCACGCTTGTTTATAGAAATCAAATACGTGCGAGTTTGGATATTAAAAACAAAAATATGGGTTGTCAAGCCTAGCAACGAGAGAAAAGAGTGTCCTCAGACCCTCTCGAATGAAGATCGCTAAATTAAGTTTTTTAAATAATCAACCAATTTAGCAGTAAATGTTAATAGAAGGAACATATATTTTCCCAATAGAACTTTATCGGCAAATTAATGACATTGAAATTATTATTGTAATAATTAAATAAACATAAATTATAATTTTAAGTGAACATATTTTTATTCAAGTTTAAAATGACAAGTTAAACTATACAACTGTGAGTGTATACATATTTTTTTAAGTGACCAGGAAAAAAAATTTAGTAAAAACTTACCATATGATGTTGAAGTTCAGTCTAAAACCAGAAACGATCGATAAAGAAATAAACCTGAAACATAATAAAAGTATATATGATTATGGTGGACAACATGTACATAAAAAATGCATTGCCTGGTCATTCAAATGTTATAATCAAAATTAGTGCCGTAATAAGTTGCAATGCACGTGAAAGTTATACTTCTTTTCACCATTTTTAGTTGGTTATTATGATGATGTATTTCTCGTAACTCAAAGTATATTTTGTTCAAATTGCAGTTACTTTGCAAAGCCTTAGATTATTTATACATTTTTACTATTTACGTAAAGCCACCTTTTGTTTCGTTACAAAGATTATCCTATTCAAATATCGTGCATGAGTTCTAGGGGCCTTGCAAGATTGTAACGTAATTCAAGCTGACGTAAGTGAGGATTACGGGAAGAAAAAGAAGCTAAGAAGTGAATTACACGGTTGCTTTATATTCATGCAAAAAGAACTTGCAGGATTGATCCACGGAAACACACTTAGGGTGGATTTCAACAAAATATTGTTGTTAATGCCGTTCGGTAAGCTAAAAGATTTTACCAAGATTTTTCATCAAAGTGGATCTTGAAAGAGATTTAAAAAATGTACACGGATAAATCAATGCCAGCAAAATTTCAAATTTTATTATTTATCTTTGCTTGGAATTTCATGAAAACCAAGAATAACTTATTTATTTGTTTATTTTTTTATTTATTTCAGAACTTTAGAAACTTTGAAGAAAATTATCATTAAATTTTCCGTGTAAAGATAATTGTGAATAAAATATTAGTAGATCCAAGAAATGAGCAAACACTTGATACGATTAAGGTTGGCTAAAGGCTTTTGGAATAGATATTCATAAATTTGGGCATTTGAGCGCAGGCACGCTGCCAAAGGGTTTAGTCGCAAAAGAGAGGCTTTTAAAGCGTAAGATGCAGAGAAAATTGACATGAACTTTACAGTATCGGATCTTACTCGATGCCAATTGGTATTTGATATGGCTTTGATAAGAGGCACTAAATGCCGAAACAGCCGGGATTATGACCTAACCGGGTGCACGCAGCAGAGGACGACCCAAAGTAGTCGGAAACGACAGCGCACGATGAGCGACACATAATTGCCGTGCTTTTGCGGGAAAAAATGTGCTGCTACGTCGAGAGAGAGCGAGGAGTAGTTGCGCTCTCGCAAGAAAGAAGAAGAGGGATATTAGCGTCGGTACTGTGTCAGTAGGAGGCAGAGAAATTGCGCGAGGCAGCAGATGCCAAAAGCAATCATCATCTCTTCGGGGAGAGAGAGAGAAAGATAGAGAGAGAAAGAGAACTCGTATAAAGAGAGCTACGCACATCTCGCAAGCTCGAAGCATCTCGAGCACGCGGGCTCCGAATAATGCGGATATACACGAGCGAGCGTGCGCTAGTCGCTTTACACGACAGTGTATATATCCTATATTGTATCAAGCGCTTTACGGAGCTCGCTCGCTGCAGCAAGCTTCTCGCTCGTGAACCAGTTCTCGCGCCCTTTTCACAGAGAGCTGCTGCTGCTCTGCGGCGTGCGGCTCATTAAACATGAAACTTCCTGGCAATTTGCGTGAGACACGATATACCTTTGGCGTGTGCACGCGTTACTACATATTATAGCGCATATCATGTATAGTAGATATACCATATGCGGAGCAAGTATATGCACGCTCGCGCGCGCGAGTATATATGACAGAACTGGTCCTCGACGCGCAGGACCGTATATACGTGTGCAGGAGCGATGATCGCACGCGCGGATGTAAGTCTCGATCATCGCTTACTGCGCCTTGTCGGTGCTTGCGTTTTAGGAGCTTTCGCTCGAGAATCAGAAGAAAAGAAGCAATGCAGCGCAGTTCATTAAAGCAAACCAGTAGGCACGCAGTCAAGTGTCGGAGCGATGATACGGCGCGCGCGTTTGGCGCCGGTGACGCGCGGTGCAACGGCTTTTCTGTCACAAGGCTTGCTACGTGGTGGCAGCAGCAGCAGCAGCAGCAGCCTCTTTTCGATACGATAAATTATTGAGCAGCAGCAGCAGCAGAGAGCCAGCCACTGCTACAGGCGATGGAATGAATCTCGATGAGTTCGTCGAGGCAGCTAGCTGTGACGAGTTTTTATGCCTCGCAGACTTTCTCACTCTCTGTACTCTGGAAGAAAAAAGTCACTCGAGCTGTGGCGCTCTCGCTGCTGCTGCCGCTGCTGCTCCAGGCTAGCGCGCGCGCCTCGCTCTTTGTCCAGAGATAAAAAATTTTATGTCTCCGGGGCGATGCATAAATGTGCAAAGAAGAAGGAGCTATACGCGCGCTCCAGCGATGAAGTCGAGCTCCGAGAAGGATGAAGTGATCAGGGCTACTAGCGACACTGGCATATAGAACGGCGTAGCAGCAGCAGAGTAGCGGTGGCGACGAAGGAGGCGGTGGCGGCAGCAGCAGCAGGAGGCATCGACCGGCTGAGAAGCGAAGAAAAGGGTGCACATGTCGAGGCTGATAGCTCAATAATTCATGGAGCCCGCGCCACCACCCGCATTCGCGTTGCCCGAGCGCCCAGAGCCGAGCTTTTATCGCCCAGGAGTCGATGCTGGACTTTCCGACGTCGTACGTTCACCCGAGCGGAGAATATAAAATGTAGAAATCACCGTCGGTCACTACTTCATTTTTGCATTTATTATGTATGCTTTACCAGCTCTTAATTTATAACTCGCGCCCTGTCCCATCGACGCGCCAGCTAGTAGCTTGTCGAAACAGCTCGCGCGTATAAATAATGGACTTCTTTATATATTTTTAGTTATCAGCTTTTGTGTGCAAAGCTCTACTTAATCTCCACAATTCGAATATTCAAAACTTGGTTGATTCAACGTGTTACATCTCGACCGAAGAATTAAGAACAATGTAAACGTTATAATTATATCTTGAACTAAAATAAAGCTTATCAGATTAACACTATTATTCATATGGTCAAATCTCAAAATAAAATTCCGTTTCGTTAACAAAAAAAGGTGAAATTTTTTTTGCGTGCCTAGCGGCCCTGACCCCAACAAATTGTTCATAGGACCTCCAGAAGTGAAAAAAAACGCGTGAACATGAAATTTGAAAATAGTTAATTTTTTTTGGGGCACTTTTGTGTTTTAGACGCCGAAAAGTCATCTTTTCACGCAAATACGACTTATTACTCGATTTCCAAGTTGTTGAAAAAGTATCAAAACTCATCTGAAAAATTTAACTGACTACTGTATTCGATTGGGAATTTCCTCAGCTTTCCGATGGTTGTATCAGATTTTCCGAAATATCCAATTTTCACCGCGAAAATCGCCATCAAACTTAGAGGGCTAAATATGTCGAAAAATTCAGTACGGAAAAAGTGAAATTTTTGCATAATTGTTGATTTTTCCTTGTGAAAATGAAATTTTTCGGAAAATCGCACTGCGCCATGAGAAAGCTGAGGAAATTTCCTATCGAAAGCATATCTTCATTTATTTTTTGAGCCGAATTACAATCCCATACAAACGTATTTTGACTCCCCTGTTCTCCGTTTTCAGTTTTCAGAGCGGTCTTGAGGTCTTTAGCGTTGCACGGCTCACTACAATCGAAATTCGCTCGTAATTAGACTCAAAAAATAAATGAACATATGCTTTCGATAGGAAATTTCCTCAGCTTTCTCATGGCGCAGTTAGATTTTCCGAAAAATTTCATTTTCACAAGGAAAAATCAACAATTATGCAAAAATTTCACTTTTTCCGTACTGAATTTTTCGACATATTTAGCCCTCTAAGTTTGATGGCGATTTTCGCGATGAAAAATGGATATTTCGGAAAAACGAATAGTATCATCGGAAAGCTGAGGAAATTTCCTATCGAATACAGTGGTCCGTTAAAATTTTTAGATGAGTTTTGATACTTTTTCAACGACTTGGAAATCGAGTAAGAAGTCGTATTTGCGTGAAAAGATGACTTTTCGGCGTCTAAAACACGAAAGTGCCCCAAAAAAAATTAACTATTTTCAAATTTCATGTTCAAGCGTTTTTTTGCACTTCTGGAGGTCCTATGAACCATTTGCCGGGGTCAGGGCCGCTGGGCACGCAAAAAAAAATTTCACCTTTTTTTGTTAACGAAACGGAATTTTATTTTGAGATTTGACCATATAAATTCAACCATTCCTTTCTGTTATTGAAATGTTATTGTACTAATGAACATATTTTTTATATTATTTACATTTATCAACTCTGATTCAACAAATTGTGCGATATTTTGTATTTTAACGTACCTAATTGTCAAGTTTTCTATTTGACAAGCAGGGGATCTAGGCCAACGCTAGGTTGACCCGATTCCTCACGAGAAGAACCGAGTTTGCTTGGTGCGATGCGGCTCATTGGTCCGGAAGTGGTATAGTATAATACATTGCACATACATGAATTTTCGGCAACAGGATGTGGAGGATTTAAAGAAAATCGAACAAAGCTTCGTATAAAAAAAGGAAAATGTTAGCAAAATACGATAAAAATAAGAGTCAATCCGAGTGATGGGTAAAGCTGCGACAATAGATACATCAAATTAAAAGAGCCACGATTTTCCTCCGTTCAGTACAATGTTTCGTTGGATTGAACAAAATACTTAATGTAGAGATAAACAGAGCGAAAAAGCCACAAAAGCTTACACAGTCGAGACATAAAGCGAGTTACTTTCACAGAAATGTTGAATAGCAAAGGCGGTGCTGCAGAGAGAGAGAGAGAGAGGGCATAAAGCTGCGTATACACGAGACACAATGCAGTTTCCAAACGTCATTTTTGGGAACATTGAAGTCGGATACCTCGAGACTGCTGTTGCTACCGCCGCCTCCGCTTTGAAATATTGTCGGGGCAATGTTTTATTGCGGATTAAATATACATTGTGTGAGCAGCATCAAAGCGAGATTATTTAATCTTGACGCATAAATTCTCTGCTGCAAAAACGTGATGCACGTACAAGAGCGAGCAAGAGCGCGCGCGACATCATAGTGCGAGCCGGCAAATTTGATCAGAGTACATGAGCTTGCAGCGCCT